TGAAACACTACCTTTAAAACAAAACAAAACAAAAAAAAAAAACACACAAAAACAAACAAACAAACAAAAAACAATACAAACAATTTCTCAGATAGCTTCAACTTGTCAAATGTTTAATGTCAGTAATGTAAGCAGAATAAACTTTTAAAAAGCTCGTTATGTATCAATAGCTGAGCATAGAGAAAGAAACAAAACAAAATCTCTGCTCTCATAGCCCTACTATTTTATTGTGGGAGGGTTGGTGGAGAAAATTATTTTAAATATGTAAGTAAATAAAGAGAAAGAGAGAGAGAGAGAGAGAGAGAACTTAGAAACTTAGATACTGCTGACTACTATAAAGAAAATAAAATAGTTTGTTGAGACGGAGTCTCACTTTGTCACCCAGGCTGGAGTACAGTGGCACAGTCTCTGCTTACTGCAACCTATGCCTCATGGGTTCAAGTGATTCTCTTGTCTCAGCCCCCAAATAGCTGAGATTACAGGTGCCTGCCACCATGCCCAGCTAACTTTTCTATTTTTAGTAGAGTCGTGTTTCCTCCATGGTGGCCAGGCTGGTCTTGAACTCCTGACCTCAAGTGATCCGCCCACCTTGGCCTCCCAAAGTGCTGGGATTACAGGCATGAGCCACTGCACTTGGCCAGAAAGAATTATTACAGGTATTTTAGACTAGAAGAGGGCTTGGCAAATGTTTTCTGTAAAGAACCAGGTAAATATTTTAGGCTTTGTAAGCCTGCCATTTTTGCCTTAACTATTCAGCTCTGACATTGCAGCTTAAAAACAGCTGTAGACATTAGATGAATAAACATGCCTGTGTCCCAGTAAATATTTATGGACACTGAAATTTGAAATGTGTATAATTTTCACGTGTCACCAAATAGGATTCTTCTTTTGATTTTCCTTTCAGCCATTAAAAAACGTAAACACCAGGCAGGGTGCAGTGGCTCATGCTTGTAATCCCAGCACTTTGGGAGGCCTAGGTAGGAGAATTGCTTGAAGCCAAAAGTTTAAGACCAGCTTGGGCAACATAGCAAGACTCCATCTCTTAAAAAAATAAAAAAAAATTAGCCCGGTGTGCTGGTACATGCCTGTAGTCCTAGCTACTCTAGAGGCTGAGGCAGGAGGATCCCTTGAACCCAGGAGTTTTAGGCAGCAGTGAGCTGTGAGGTGCCACTGCACTCCAGTCTGGGTGACAGAGTGAGACCTTGTCTCTAAAAAAAAACCTCAAAATAATAAATGGAAATCCAATTTTGGCTCATGGGCTGTATAAAAACAGGTGGCAGGCTGAGTTTGCCCCATAGACTGTAGTTTGCCAACCCTTAGACTAAGGAATCAGGGAAGACCTCTCAAGTGGGTGAGATCGGAATCAAGACCAAAATGAGGAGATGGAACCAGTCATGTAAGGCTCTGGAGAAAGGGCATCCCAGGGAGAGATCCCAGGAAATACAAAGGACCTGAGATGGGAATGAGCTCAGTGTGGGCAAAACATAAGGAAGGCAGATGGGGCTGGAGGATGGGGAATGCCAATCAATCCTTTTCCTGGAATTCAGCTCTGAGATTTGTGCATAATGAACATTAAACAACATCATAATCAAAGTCTCAAATGCATAGTAGAATTCCCTCTGCTTAGTGCATAATTATGGCCTCCAGGAATCGGAGTCTCACACTGTGTAACTATGGGAAAGCCGCTCAACCTTCAGACTTCTCTGTCTTTATTGCCAGGGTTTAATTAGGCACAGACTTTCCTTCTAAAATTCCTATATGGTTTGCTTCGTTATTAAACTACAGCTAGTTGAAATTAATTCTGTTTGGACCTTAAAAAAATTTTTTTTTTCATGAAGGTCCTTGAGGGAACTGGAAATACTTTGGCTGTTAAAAATATCCCAACCTTGCTGGCCAGGTGTGGTGGATTATACCTGTAATCCTAGCACTTTGGGAGGCTGAGGACGGAGGATTTCTTTAGGCCAGGAGTTCAATGCCAGCCTGGGCAATGTAGCGAGACCCCTCTCTACAAAAAAAAATTAAAAGATTAGCCCGATGTGATGGTGCATGCCTGTAGTCCTAGCTACTAGGGACGCTGAAGCAGGAGTTCGAGGCTGCAGTGAGCTGTGATCATGCCACTGCACTCCAGCCCGGACAACAGAGGAAAAAAGAATCTCAAGCTTGGGGATCATTGTTCTGTGGAAATACAGTTCATGCTTAGTAATTAGTTAAAAAATCTACAACTAGCTTGCTTCTTTGTGAATGTGTGGTTCTATCCCCCAAATTTTCTAGCCCTCTGTATAGGCAAGGCAAATGTCCAGGGTCCCCATCTGAAGGATCGTAGGAGTATGCCTATGTCACCTCAACATCTTTGATTCCTGTTTTGGGGGAGGCACTCCGTATGTTCTTGTGAATCAGTCCATACACAAGTTGATTTCTCCATCTCATTTGGGCATCTGTCATTGCCCACGGCTTCTGCAAATAGCTCTTGGTGTTAAAGTCACTGCATCCTGTAAATGTTCCCCACTTCTTTCATATTCCCCAAATGCCTCCAATACAATGTTGTTGTGTGTAAATGTCTTTTCCTAAAGAACTGGGGAGCATTGGCAGCTACTTCCAGCTCAGTGAAACTTGAGGTCTAATCCTAGACTTAATGGTTGTTGTTGTTTTTTTTTTTTCTTTGAGATGGCGTTTCCCTCATATTGCCTAAGCTGGAGTGCAATGGTGCAACCTTGGCTCACTGCAACCTCCGCCTCCCAGGCCCAAATGATTCTCCTGCCTCAGCCACCCAAGTAGCTGGGATTACAGGCACGCACCACCATGCCCAGCTATAATTTTTGTATTTTTAGTAGAGATGGGGTTTCACCATCTTGACCAGGCTGGTCTTGAACTTCTGACCTTGTGATCCACCTGCCTCGGCCTCCCAAAGTGCTGGGATTACAGGCATGAGCCACTATGCCCCACCTAGACTTGATGGTTTTTAAAGTCCCACTGACATCTCAGTGATGGGGAAATTCAAAGGCCAGAACAAGGTGTCAGAGAGAGTTCTCTGGGAATTCAGTGGAGGGAGAAAGTACTTCTCATGAAGGAGACAAGAGAAGGCTTTAAAGGAGAGAAAAATTTGAGCTTGATCTTAAAGTAGGATTTGGATGCAGAAAGGTTAAGGAAAAGCATTGTAGGTGGTAAAAAGATGCCACCTGGCTGGGTATGGTGGCTCACACCTGTAATCTCAGCACTTGGGGAAGTGGAGGTGGGCAGATCATCTGAGGTCAGGAGTTTTAGACCAGCATGGCGAAACTCTATCTCTACTACAACTACAAAAATTAGGTGGGTGTGGTGGCTGATGCCTGTAAAGTCCCAGCTATGTAGGAGACTGAGGCAGGAGAATGGCTTGAACCTGGGAGGCAGAGGTTGCAGTGAGCCAAGACCACACCACTGCATTCCAGCCTGGGCAACAGACTGAGACTCCAATTCAAAAAAATCTCAAAAAACAAAATAAACAAAGAGTTAATGAATGCAAGAAGGAGGTCCTGACAGCAAAGATGTTGTTGACTATCACATACCAGTGCAAAGGCATTTATTTATTTATTTATTTGAGACAGAGTCTTGCACTGTTGCCCAGCCTGGAGTGCAGTGGCATGATCTTGGCTCACTGCAACCTCTGCCTCTCGGGTTCAAGCCATTCTCCTGCCGCAGACTCCCGAGTAGCTGGGATTACAGGTGTGCACCACTACACCCAGCTAATATTTTGTATTTTTAGTAGAGATGAAGTGTCAACATGTTGGCCAGGATGGTCTCAATCTCTTGACCTTGTGATCCTCCTGCCTCGGCCTCCCAAAGTGCTGGGATTACAGGTGTAAGCCACCCCGCCTGGCAGGCTTTTATTTATTTAATTTGCTCATTTATTCATTTCTTTATTTTTTGTAGATGACTCTGTTTCATGGGTCAGTGCAGAAAACTTATGGATTTTGGGCAGATACATGGTTCACCTATCATTTGAAGAAATTATGAAAATTAGTCCTATGGAAGTAAGTTGGAAATGTCCATTTATATGTTGCCATTACTAATACACTTTGGGTAAGGTGTATTCTCAACCTCTATTGTTCATCCAGCCAGTCAAGGTGACTTGGAAATTGTATACTCTCCTCAGCCCAATAGAGCTTGGGCCTCTAAAGAAAACTATTGGGACAAAGTTTCAAGTGGGCAGTCATGGGATTGTGTTTTAGTATGGAAGGGCTAGGAAAAGAAAAGAATTGTGGACAACTAAGATCACATCTCTGATGGGAGCAAACATGATTTAAAGGGATTGTTGGCTATGAACCAAAAATCATTTAAGGGTATTTTTGTACTCAAGAAAAGCCAAGGACAAAAGATATAAAGTTTCCAGTCCTTGGAAGCATGAACTCAAAGCAAAAACAACATGGATTAATAGCTACTTCTATATATAGCTACTTCTGTTAATAGCTGTTTGAGCATGAGCAATGGCTAGATCTTAATTCTAGAGTTTACAGTGGAGAAATGTACACATTCTAAGGTTACTTAACTCACCAGTTAACCTGTCCCTCTCCTTTTGATGTTGACCCAATGACACTAAAATCCCTTGGGCATCATGATTCTTGAATGGGGTCTCCAAAGAATGCTGCCAGCACAAAGGGACTCATAAAGAGACTGTGGGCCTTGCCTCCAATTTTTTATTTTTATTTTTATAAATCATATGTGCTCTGACACTTCTGTCCAGTGAAAGAAGTGTTTGCATCAAATGACTGGCTTGTTCAAGGACCCATTGATTCAGCAATGTCTGTTTATTATGAAATCAGAGGCAGAACAAGGTTTCTCTTTTTTTACTAGGGGGCTGGGAGTATTTCAAGTGTCTTCTAATTTTTATAACCAGCAGTCCTAGAATTAACCCCCAACTCCACTGCCATTTACTTTCTCAATGTTGAGTTGCTTTGAGTAGACAGCAGCTTAAATTGTTAGAAAGCTGGGCCCCAAGAAGAAATTTCTAAGATCAAGCACCCATTGGCAACTTTTCGTTCTCTAAATGTAGAGAAGGGAGAAGTCAAGAGTAACACTGTTAAAAAGGTAATTTTATTTATTTGTTTGTTTATTTGTTTATTTTTGAGACGAAATCTCGCTCTCTTGCCCAGGCTGGAGTTCAGTGGCGTGATCTTGGCTCACTGCAACCTCTGCCTCCTGGGTTCAAGTGATTCTCCTGCTTCAGCCTTCTGAGTAGCTGGGATTACAGGTGTGTGCCACCATGCCAGTCTGATTTTTGTATTTTTAGTAGAGATGGGGTTTCACCATGTTGGTCAGGCTGGTCTCAAACTCCTGACCTCATGATCTTCCTTCCTGAGCCTCCCAAAGTGCTGGGATTATAGGCGTGAGCCACCGCCCCAGGCCTATTTTAGTTGATTTCTTTTCGAGATGGAGTCTTTCTCTGTTGCCCAGGCTGCGGTATAGTGGTGTGATCTTGGCTCACTACAACCTCCTTCTCCCAGGTTCAATTGATTCTCCTGCCTCAGCCTCCTGAGTATCTGAGATTACAGGCACATGCCACCATGCCCAGCTAATTTTTGTATTTTTAGTAGAGATGAGGTTTCACCATATTGGCCAGGCGGGTCTCGAATTCGTGACCTCAGGTGATCTGCCTGCCTTGGCCTCCCAAAGTGCTTGGATTACAGGTGTGAGCCACCTCGCCCAGCCTAAAAAGAAATTTTATATGGACAAAGAGTACAATCTACAAAGGAGAGACAACTTTATGAGCGCCTTTGAGCACAGCATAATAGTGCATCAAAATACAGAATGTTCCCAGTGCCGTGGCCCATGCCTGTAATCCCGGCAGTTTGAGAGGCCAAGGAGGGAGGACTGCTTGAGCCTAGAAGTTCAAGACCAGCCTGGGCAACATAGTGAAACCTCACCTCTACAAAAAAACTTAAAAATTAGCCAAGTGTGGTGTTGTGTGCCTGTAGCCCAGCTACTTGGGAAGCTTAGGTGAGAGGATCACTTGAGCCCAGGAGGTTGAGGCTGCAGTGAGCCATGATCACACCACTGCAACCCAGCCTGGGTAATAGAGTGAGACCGTGTCTTGGCTGGGCGCAGTGGCTCGTGCCTGTAATCCCAGCACTTTGGGAGGCCAAGGTGGGTGGATCACGTGAGCTCAGGTGTTTGAGACCAGCCAGGCCAACATGGTGAGACACTATCTTTACTAACAATACAAAAATTAGCTGGGCATGGTGGCACATGCCTGTAATTCCAGCTACTCAGGAGGCTGTGGCAGGAATATCACTTGAACCTGGGAGGCTGAGGTTGCAGTGAGCTGAGATTATACCATTGCACTCCAGCCTGGGTGACAGAGTGGGAATCCATCTCAAAAAAAAAAAAAAAAAGGAATGAGACTGTCTCAAAAATGTTATATACATAATGTATAATCTGCTAGAAATACAAGGGAAAATAGATATGAGTCCTATAGTAGTAGAAGACTTGCATATGGCACCTTTGGACATGGGGAGGAAAGAGAATGTCGGGAATCTGAATAGTATATTTAATAAGTTGAATATATATGCACCAAACTTTGTGTCTTACAAAGAGATTACCCAAGGGCCATTTATAAACTCATTTGTCTATTAAAGAAAGTTCCGATTCTTCAAAGCAGAAGGTTTTTGGACCACATTCTCTGACCTCAGTATAACAAATCTAGAAATAAATGTGCAAAGATTAGCTTTTAAAAAGCCCAATTTCTCAGATGTTAAAAAATAATACTTTCCTTAAGAACAGTTAGGTTGAGAAGGAAACCAAAGTAGCAGTTATAGACCACTAAGAAATCAATGACAATGAGGTTGGGCGCGGTGGCTCACACCTGTAATCCCAGCACTTTGGGAGGCCGAGGTGGGTGGGTCAGTTGATGTCAGGAGTTCAAGACCAGCCTGCCCAACATGGTGAATCCCTGCTTCTACTAAAAGTACAAAAATTAGCCAGGCATGGTGGTGGGGATCTGTAATCCCAGCTACTCTGGAGGCTGAAGCAGGAGTATTGCTTGAACTCAGGAGGCAGAGGTTGTAGTGAGCTGAGATCGCACCACTGCACTCCAGTCTGGGTGACAGAATGAGACTCCATCTCAAAAAAAAAAAAAAAAAAAAAGACATCAATGACAGTGAGAACCAGGAGTCATATCCAATTATCCATGATGGGGCACAGCGCAGACCACCAGGGTGGGGCCACACTGGGCCACTTCTACCCTCCTCACTGATATTCCCGTCCTTGTCCACCAACCAGATTGGGCTGTTTATCAGTTATGACAATGCCACCAAGCAGCTGGACACGGTCTATGACATCACACCTGAGCTGGCCCACGCGTTTTTGGAGAGGATCAGCTCCTCCAACTTTAACGTGAGGAATACCTCCACCATCCACAGGCAAGGATATGGGCTCTGGGCCTTGGAGCTCTTTCACAAGATGTGATCTAAGCATCAGAATTCTCTGAGCAGCAAAAGACCCAGGGAGGGAAGGGAGGTGGCTGGTCTGTCTCTTTGAATAGTTCCACATCTCTCTGTGCATGTCTGCACCCTTTTCATGAAGTGGTTATGAAGCAGGGTGAAAGGGTAAATGCTTTCTGAGCATCTCCTGTGTGCCAGGCATTTTATGCAATCTTATCAAGTGCTAATTACAGCTCTCAGCACAGAAATGAAACATTTTAAATACTCAGGCCTGGGTCCTGTTCCAAAGTGAATATGTGATTTCTGTTTTAAGTTGAGTCAAGTGTTGGAAATAACTCATGGGTCCCGGTATTTGAAAACCCCTTGTTATCAGACCCTCAGCTGGGGAGCCCCTGGATGAGATCAGCTCTAGAATTTAGTGATTGTAATGTGATCCTCCCTGAAACCATTCCCAGCAGGGGAGGGACAGGAACTCTGCATTCCAGGGATGTCAGGAAGGGTTTGAGGGTCAAGGTAGGGAGTGGGTAACAGGAAGTTGGTGGTGAGTACTGTTCAATCCACCTACATTTTTTTTTTTTTTTTTGGTGAGACAGAGTCTCACCCTGTTGCTCAGGCTGGAGTGCAGTGATGGGATCTTGGCTCACTGCAACCTCTACCTCCCGAGTTCAAGCAATCCTCGTGCCTCAGCTTCCAGAGTAGCTGGGACTACAGGTGTGTGCCACCGTGCCCAGCTAGTTTTTTTGTGTGTGTTTTTAGTAGAGATAGGGTTTTGCCATGTTGACCAGGCTGGTCTCGAACTCCTGACCTCAGGTGGTCTGCCCACCTCAGGCTCCCAAAGTGCTGGGATTACAGGCATGAGCTACCACACCTGGCCCATTCAATCCTCTTTTTTTTTTGAGGCAGAGTCTCACTCTGTCACCCAGGCTGGAGTGTCGTGGTACAATATCACCTCACTACAACCTCCACCTCCCAGGTTCAAGAGATTCTCCTGCCTCCCAAGTAGCTGGGATTACAGTGCATGCCACCAAGCCCAGCTAATTTTTGTATTTATAGTGGGGAGGCGTTTTTTGCCATGTTGGCTAGGTAGGTCTCGAACTCCTGACCTCAAGTGATCCAACCACCTTGGCCTTCCAAAGTGCTGAGATTACAGGGGTGAACCACTGTGCTAGGCCATCATTCAATCTTCTGTACATCTCTCAAGGTTTTATTGCCATAGTGTACCCATCCTATATTACCTTAAGTTTTTTAAATGAGCCACTTTTAGGGAATGTACTTATAGAGAACAATTACATCTCCTTCACCTATCCTTAGTAATTTTCACTTATTAGCATGGGTCCCAGTTTTCTTTTTCTTTTTCTTTTTCTTTTTCTTTTTTTTTTGTGAGACAGAGTCTTGCTCTGTCACCCAGGCTGGAGTGCATGTTGATGCGATCTTGCCTCACTGCAACCTCTGCCTCCCAGATTCAGGCGATTCTCCTGCCTCAGCTTCCTGAGTAGCTGGGACTACAAGTGCATGCCATCATGGCGGGCTAATTTTTTGTATTTTTAGCAGAGATGGGTTTCACCATGTTAGCCAGGATGGTCTTGATCTCCTGACCTTGTGATCTGCCTGCCTTGTCCTCCCAAAGCACTGCGATTACAGGTGTGACCCACCATGCCCAGCTGGGTTCCATTTTTCTATGGTTACATGCACACACAAATAGCCTCATGATTAAGAACATGTGACCTTGAGCCAGACTTCATGGCTTAATCCTGGCCCTGATGCTTACAAATTGTGTGATCTTTGCCATTTTTACCTCACCTCTCTATGCTTCCGCTTCCCCATCTGTGAAATGGGAGATAAAAATATGCCTTCTGCATGAAGGTCTTTGTAGGGATTTACACACCTGACACATAGTAAGTGCCCAAGAAATATTATTTTTTCTTTTATAATTTATTTTTTAAATTGATAAAAATTATCTATTTATGGTATGCAACATGATGTTTAGAGATATATATTCATTGTGGAATGGCTTAATCAAGCTAATTATTACCTCACATACTTTTTTTTTTGTGGTGAGAATACTTAAAATCTACTCTTAGCGATTTTGAAAATATGATACATTGTTATTAACTATAGTCAGCATGTAGAATACATCTCCAGAACCTACTTTCCTATTTAACTGAAACATTGTATCCTTTGTCCAATTATCTCCAAAACTCCCTTCCCACCTCCAGCCCCTGGTAACAACCATTCTAACTCTGCTTCCATGAGTATGACTTTTTTTTCAGATTCTTTTTTTTTTTTTGAGACGGAATCTTGCTCTGTCACTCAGGCTGGAGTGCAGTGGTGCGATCTCGGCTCACTACAACCTCTGCCTCCAGGCTTCAATCGATTTTCCTGCCTCAGTGTCCTGAGTAGCTGGGATTACAGGCGTGCATCACCATGCCAGGCTAATTTTTGTATTTTTAGTAGAGACAGGGTTTCACCATGTTGGCCAGGCTAGTCTTGAACCCTGACCTTGTGATCTGCCCGCCTCCGCCTACCAAAGTGCTGAGATTACAGGTGTGAGCCACCATGCCTGGCCCAGATTCTTCATATAAGTTAGGTCATACAGTATTTGTCTTTCTGTGCCTGGCTTATTGCACTTAGCATAAGATTCTCCAAGTTCATCCCTGTTGTTCCATATGATAGAATTTCCTTCTTTTTAAAAGCTGAAGAGCATTCCATTGTGTATCCACTATATTTAAAAAAAATCCATGTAGCCATTGATGTGTCCAACACTTAGGATGATTCCATATCTTGGCTGTTGTGAATAGGTATTTTTAATGTGGTTATTAACACTCATCCCTCACTTCCCTGGAATCTTCTTTTCTCGATGTTAAGCAGATCTCTTTTCCTCATCAGACACACTTTCAAATCTTTTCCCTGGACCTGGCAGCTCTTCTGTGGGCATATCTGAATATGTCAATATCTCTTTGACAGGGCGGAGCCAGGCTGACTGTAGACACCAGGTAGTCTTCATACTACCTCTAAGAGCATTCATTAATGAATGAGTGCTTAGCATCCATCAGGAAGCATGCACATCAGTTGGTGTGTGCCACTTCTCATTTAACTTTCACAGCCATCCTCTTTCTTTCATTCATATTTATTATGATGTGTTACAATGAACAAAGCAAACCTCCCATTTATTAAAGCTCAGAGAGGGAGGGGCACCCTGCCTCTGTACAGCACAGGAGTACAGAGTGTGCATTGTGGAACTGTGTGCAGCAACCTCATGGAGAAGTTAAGTAACTCAGTGAAGATCGAACATCTTAAAGAGCCGGGCTTCAAACTGCAGTAGGTCTGCATCAATGCTCTTAATGAGTAGACACATTGCTCTCAGTTATACCAGGGTTCAAATTTCACCCCTGTCTTTCCACTGTTTTCCTCCAGTCTTTTTTGTTTTCCTTCTGAAATCTTTGCATCATCTTGGTGGGTAGGTAGGAAAGGCATCCTGGAAACAGATCTCTGCTTCAGAGAATCCATCAGGGTGAAGAAACCCCCTTTTCTCCATGGGGAAAATGGGGAGTTTTTTGTGGCTCCCAGCACCGTTCTTTCCTTATTCCCTTTATTTGTCCCTCGTGGAGAGATGGCGTAGTTGGATGGGTCTACATTTAAGTCCCATTTCCGGCAACTTGGTTTGGACAAATCAAATCTCAGTTTGCCCATCTGTAAAATGGGGCTAATGAGAGCACCTGCCTTGTAGGGTTGCTGTGATGAGATAATGCAGGTAAACAGCTCAGCACAAGACCTGATAAGTGGTAGCTGCTGTTAATATAATCAGGACCCCATTGGTTTGGACTGGGCAGTGGATGTCATTGTGTCCGCCAGCTCTCAGCCTTCTGTTACAGAACCAAACTGGGTTTGTTTGCCCATGCACGATGGAAAACCAAACACTGAGGCACCAGGTTTTTGTAGACAGAAACATTTACTGTGAATCAGCTGCCAAGGAGAAAGGAAGTAGTGCTCAAATCTGTGTCTCTGAGCTGTGGGCTGGGGCAGGTTTTATAGGCAGAGGGTAATAAGACTTGATCTGATTGGGTCTTGCTATGAGGTGATGCTGGGAGGTGGGATCTGATTGGATTATGCCATGAAGTGATGCCAGGGCTCAATCTAATTGGATCATGGACCATGCCATGTGGCGTGCGCTTCTTAATTCAGCCTTCATTCCTCTGTCCTGTCTGAGTACTTAGGTTCCACCTGTGGTTGCACATTTGATTCATCTGGGCATGTTCAGGTTATATGACCTGGGAGTCCATGGCAACTGAAAAACAACTCACCATTTTATTACACAAAATGATACCAGAATGGGCTGGTTCTGCACTTACACCTCCACCATACCCCTCCTCTTCTCACACAGGTTGGGGCTGCTGGTTTGTTTCTACGATGACCTGGAATTGCTGGATGCCACTGTGGCCCAAGCCTTGCTTCACCAGATGATCAAGTGCAGCCACCTGAGGGGCTTCCAGGCTGGCGTCCAGAAGGTACAGCTGGGTTTCAAGGCCCTGAGGCCTCTGCTTCAGTTTTTCTAGCCGGAGAAATGGGGAGAACAGCCTAGCTTAGCCTTTGAGAGAAAACACACAGCACTAGTTGGGATTTAAGATCAGTTACAGCAAATGGCATCTCAAATACTGGGATGAGTGTAACGTCGAAGACCAGACAGAAGACAGCAAAGGAACAGATCCTGGGGAGATCAAACTTCAATCAGCCAGGTGTGGTGGCTCACACCTGTAATCCTAGAACTTTGGGAGGCCAAGGTGGGAGAATCGCTTGAGTCTGGGAGTTTGATACCAGGCTGGTTAACATAATGAGACCCTTGTCTCTGTAAAAAATACAAAAAAATGGTTGGGCACGATGGTTCACACCTGTAATCCCAGCACTTTGGGAGGCTGAGGCAGGCAGATCACCTGAGGTCAGGAGTTCGAGAGCAGCCTGGCCAACATAGTGAAACCCCATCTCTACTAAAAATACAAAAATTAGCCAGGCATGGTGGTGTGCACCTGTAATCCCAGCTACTCAGGAGGGTGAGGCAGGAGAATTGCTTGAGCCTGGGAGGTGGAGGTTGCAGTGAGCCAAGATTGCCGCACTGCACTCCAGCCTGGGCAACAGAGTGAGATCTGGCGTCANAAAAAAAAAAAAAAAAAAGAAGAAGAACAAAAGAAAAAAAAATTAGCCATGTGCATATAGTGCCAGTGACTTGGGAGGTTGAGGTAGGAGGATCTTTTGAGCCCAGGAGTGCTAGCCTGCAGTGAGCTATGATAGTGCCATTGCACTTCAGCTGGATGACAGAGCAAGAGGCAGCTACCTCAAACTTAAAATGTACACACAGATCACCTAAGGACCTAAATGCTGATTCTGATTCAGGAGCTCTGGGTTGAAGCCCAGGACTCTCTTTTCTCTCATCTTCCTCTTCTTCTCCTTCCTCCTTCTTCCCTCGGCCTCAAAAGTGTTAGGATGACAGGTGTGAGCCATTGTGCCCAGCCGATGCTGCACTTCCAACAAGGTTGCAGGTGATTCTGAAATTGCTGCTCTGGTGGACATGCCTGGAGCAGCAGGAGATAAAGCAGTGGTTCTCAAATTTGGCTCTAGATTAGTAACACCCCTGCCAGGTGCCATCCCCAGAGATTCTGATGTTATTGTGCTGGGGTGTGGCCTGAGGTATGGCCTGATTTTAAAGCTTCTCAATGCAGCCAGGATTGAGAACACTGGATTGGAGGGTAGTTATGAGTTCCCAAGACCAGGTTCTGGACACATTAGTAAACACGCGATCTCTCATTTTCCTTCCTCTCCATCTCTCTCTTCTTTCTTCCATTCAAGTCTCAATTCTACCCCCTTCCCTTTCACTTTTTGTGGTCCTTTTCAATTTGCTTAAAATCAGAAAGATGACATGAAAATAATATTAAATGAAATTTTGATAAAGCTATCAGTAATTTCACAGAAGTTTTCCACTCATCACCATAAAGTCCCCAAACGCATTTGACATTTGAGATCATGGTCATCTATCTTGGTCAACACGTTTTTTTTTTTTTTTTTGAGATTTTTTTTTTTTTTTTTTTTTGAGACGGAGTCTCATTCTGTCACCCAGGCTGGAATGCAGTGGCACAATCTCAGCTCACTGCAACCTCTGCCTTCCAGGTTCAAGTGATTTTTTTTGCCTTAGCCTTCAGATTAGCTGGGACTACAGGTATGTGTCACTGTGCCTGGCTAAGTTTTTGCAGTTTTAGTAGAGATGGGGCTTAACCATATTAGCCAGGCTGGTTTTGAACTCCTGACCTCAGGTGATCCACCTGCCTTGGCCCCCCAAAGTACTGGGATTACAGGTGTGAGCCACTGTGTCTGGCCTGTCAATGCAAACTTTTGTTTCTAAGGAAAAGAATCCCTCCCAAGCAAGCTCCAAACAAAAATAAGAAAAGAGATGTATTTTAAGGCCCAGTGTTCTCAACATGTGGCAGCCCTGACCAAGGAGAAGGTTGCGTGTGGTTAGATATGAAGGAGCCCTTTGGAATAATCTAGCTCAATTGTTGTCAAACTGGAGAGTGCATCTAAATCACAGGGAGGGCCTGTTAAAATACCGCTTGTGGGCCGGGCGCGTTGGCTCACGCCTGTAATGCCAGCACTTTGGGAGGCCGAGGTGGGTGGATCACAAGGTGAGGAGTTCAAGACCAGCCTGGTCAACATGGTCTCTAGTAAAAAACACAAAAATTGGCTGGGTGTGGTGGTTCGCACCTGTAGTCCCAGCTATTTGGGAGGCTGAGGCAGGAGAATTGCTTGAACCTGGGAAGCAGAGGTTGCAGTGAGCTGAGATCATGCCAGTGTACTACAGCCTGGGTGACTGGGTGACAGAGTGAGACTCCATCTCAAAAAAAAAATACAGCTGTGGCAGTGGTCCAGTTTTGTGGAAGACAATTCTTTTTCCATGGACTGGGGCCAGGGGATTGTTTCGGGATGATTCAAGTGCATTACATTTATTGTGTACTTTATTTCTATTATGATTACATTGTAATATACAATGAAATAATTATACAACTCACTGTCATGTGGAGTCAGTGAGAGCCCTGAGCTTGTATTCCTGCAACAAGATGGTCCCATCTGGGGGTGATGAGAGACAGTGACATCAGGCAATAGATCATCAGGCATTAGAGTCTCATAAGGAGCACGCAGACTAGCTCCCTGGCATGCGCAGTTCACAATAGGGTTTGCTGTTATGAGAATATAATGCCGCCTCTGATCTGACAGGAGGCGGAGATGATTCAAGCGGGTGCTGCTCACCTCCTGCTGTGGCCGGTTTCTAACAGGCCAGGGTCCCCATGGTCCTCATCTGTGGCCTGGAGGTTGGGGATCCTTGGATTTCGGAGCCCCACCAAGTCTCTGATTTTGGAGGTCTGGGAGCAGCCTGGCAATTTGCACATCTAAGTTCCCAGGTGATGCCCATGCCGCTGGGTGTGCTCCACACTTTGAGAGCTGCCACTGTAGTCCACTCCTTCATTTTACAGATGTGGAAACTGATCTCTAGGGAAGGGAGTTGCTGAACTTGGAGAACCCAGGTGCTGTGACAGCTGTTTCTTCTACTTCACTTTTCTGCCCCCTAGTGGCTATTTCGATATTGCCAGAAACCCGTTTTATGCACCTGTCTGAAATAACTACGTTGTTCACGTAAATTCAGGTGTTAAACATGAACTATTTTTGTTTTTTGTTAAAAAGCTCATTGTATAGTAGGTGAGTTTATCACATTCCTTACTAGAAGCAGTTGGAACACACACTTTTCTATAATTAGGCAGGCATATTGCAATAAAAATTATTAAAATGATAATAGAAATGTGCAAACAGGTGCAAGAGATAATTTTAAGGGGAAATATAGAAGAGCAAATTGTGCTTCTGTTTATGTTATAACCCTGTAAAAACTACATAGTGTCTCTATATTTATAAAGGCACAGAAGTCTTGGAAGCATATACACCCAATTGCTAATCATGGTTACTTTTACGAGGTAGGATATTGAGGAGACTTTTACTTTCTTGTACTGTTAAGAGTTATTTTTGGCTGTGTGTGGTGGCTCATACCTGTAATCCCAACACTTTGGGAGACTGAGGCAGGTGGATCACATGATGTCAGGAGTTCAAGACCAGCCTGGCCAACATGGTGAAACCCCCCTCTACTAAAAATTAGCCAGGTGAGGTGGTGGGTGCCTATAATCCCAGCTATTCAGGAGATGGAGGTAGGAGAATTGCTTGAACCTGGAAGGTGGAGGTTGGAGTGAGCTGAGACTATGCCATTGTAGTCCTGCCTGGGCGACAAGAGCGAAACTCAGTCTAAAAAAAAAGAAGAGTTATTTTTACACAGACTGTAAATTATCATGAAAAGGGCCCTGGCTATCTCATGAAAGGAAAACAGCCTATATATATGGATATAGAGTTCAAGGTCACCAGAGGAAAATAGATGCTATAAGAGTGTGGTGGACCTTGCCATGTATGTACCTATGCAACAATCCTGCATGATCTGCACATGTACCCCAGAACCTAAAGTAAAGTTAAAAAAAAAAAACCCTATCTTGGTAAAAAGTACTCTAAAATAAAAGAGCTCATTTGTTTGAAAAAAAAAGAGTATGGTGGAGTTATAAAGGGAATGAGATTTCTTTCTGACATGGTTTAAGGTTTATTTAATGACAAATTAATATTTAAATGAAGCGCAAAGGGAATTTTTGGCACATGAGAGCCAAGGCCAGAGGAAGTGCTCTCCATGTGATGCCTCACTTTCTGGGCATGTCAGGAGTCCCTTTCCTTCTTCACTTCGGTGTCCAGAGGCTTTGATGGGAGGGTGAGGTAGAGTCCTAATAGCCCTGGTTATGGTCAGAGGGAGCCACTGCCCTGCTTCCTATCAACACTCATTCCAATTTGCTCTCCTTCCAGCTCAAAGCAGAACTCCTGGACATTGCCACAGAGAACCAGACCCTCAACGAGACCCTGGGTTCTTTGTCGGATGCGGTTGTAGGTTTGACCTATAGCCAACTGGAATCTCTCTCCCCCGAGGCTGTGCACAGAGCCATCTCCACCCTCAACCAGGTCTCAGGTTGGACCAAGAGCCAGGTCACCATCTTGTCTGCCAAATACTTGGCCCATGAGAAGGTCAGCTGGGTTTTTTAAACTCTTCTTTATTCCCCTGAGATGACCTAAGGCTAGTGTATTAGTCCTCTCCGGCTGCCGTAACAATATACTGTAGATTGAGTGGCATAAACAACATAAATTTATTTCTCACAGTTGTGGAGACTGGGAAGCTCAACATCAAGGTGTTAGAAAGGTAGGTTTTATTCTGAGGACTCTTCTCTTGGCCTGTAGGTGGCCGCCATTTTGCTGTGTGCTCACATGACCACTGGGAGAGCAAGCTCTCCAGCAACTCCTCTAACAAGGAAACTAATCCCATTGGATTAGGGCCTCACCTGACCCTCATTTTCTCATGACCTCATCTAACCCTTAAAAGCCTCTTAAGGGCCCCCACCTCCCAATACCATCACATTAGGGGTTAGGACTTTGACATATGAATTCTGGGGGGATACAAATATTCAATCTGTAACAGTCAGTTATAAACACACAGCAGGGGCAGCCAATCAGTAAGAAGATGATGCTGAGGAGGGCTGCCTGGGTTCAAATCCTCACTCTGCTATTTACTAGCTGTGTGACACTGGGCAATTTGCTTAATTTTACTTTGCCTCAGTTTCTCTATTTGTAAAATGGGGATAACAATAGCATTTACTACTGGGCAAGGTAGCTCACACCTGTAATCCCGGAACTTTGGGAGGCTGAGGTGGGAAGATTACCTGAGGCCCGGAGTTTGAGACCAGCCTGATCAACATGGTGAAATCCTGTCTCTACTAAAAATACAAAAATTAGCCAGGTGTGATAGTGCACGCCTGTAATCTCAGCTACTTGGGAGACTGAGGCAGGAGGATGGCTTGAACCTGGGAGGCGGATGTTGCAGTGAGCAGAGAGCGTGCCACTGCACTCTAGCCTGGGCTACAGAGCAAGACTGTATCTCAAAACAATTAAACAACAACGACTGCAACAACAAAAAATTAGTAGCACCTACCCTGTAGCACTGCTGCAAGGATTATGTGAGTTGGTGCACATGAAGAAGCTGGAACACCAGGTGACACCACAGAGTACCACCTCAAGGGGTGTTAGCCATCACTGGGAGAGATCAACATGTGGGACTCATCCCAGGATTTTCCTCCCTGCTGTTGAGCTGCTATTAGGTTCATGCAAAAAGTAATTATGGTTTTTGCCATTTCTTTGGGATTAGGGATGGTGCTCTTTTATTCCAATCTTGGGCTAGAGAGAGGGCACTGTCAGGGCAGACAGTCCTCTTTGGTGGGGACAGGAGTCTTAATCTGTGTTCTAGCTGCTCCTGGGTGGAAAATGGACATTCTTTTGGGGAGAATTAGTGTCCCGGGGTTGGGTCCAGTCCAGAGGGCTCCAAATCTGAGATACTTGAGTTCTAAGCATTTTGGTGTCCTTCTCTTTCAGTCCACGCTCACGGCCACTTCCCAGGATGCAAACTGGCTCATGAGGATCGGATTAGGACCAATCCCAATCAAATAATAGCAAACATTTATTTATTTTTGGCTTCTGGATATTAATTTTAATTACTTTGAAATAACATAATTTACTACCAGATGTTTAACAAGCACCCATTATAATTGCTAAACTGTGAATTCAGTATTAACTGTGTCTGACCAACTACACAAAACTCACCAATTTTTCTTTTGACAAAAGGTAGTAGGCTGGGCGTGGTGGCTCATGCCTGTAATCCCAGCACTTTGGGAGGCCGAGATGAGCAGATCACTTGAGGCTAGGAGTTCAAGACCAGCCTGGACAACATGGTGAAACCCTGTCTGTACTAAAAATGAAAAAACTACCCGGGCATGATGTGCATACCTGTAATTCCAGCTACTTGGAAGGCTAAGACAGGAGAATCGCTTGAACCCAGATGGTGGAGGAGGTTGCAGTGAGCTGAGATTGTGCCACTGTACTCCAGCCTGGGCTGGGCTACAGAGCAAGACTCTGTCTTACAAAAAAAAAAAAAAAAAAAAAAAAAAAAAAAAAAGCAGTAGAAATCCTAAAGAATGAAAAGACTACTCCATTAAGGTCATGTTTACTAACCTAGCACCAAAATTCCAGTCCTAGTCCATTGGCTGTAGGTTTGACCTACAGCCAACTGGAATCCCTCTCCCCTGAGGCTGTGGCTCGCTTGCTGGAAGGAGGATATGGGAAGGGATGAAGTTGTTGAAAATGTAAGGTCCATTTTCTTGCTCTAAAGCAAAAGAACCACAGTGTCCCACAAAGAAGAAAATCGCTGAGGTTGGAGATGAAAGCAAAAGTTTGTGACTCAGGTGGTAAAGGCTTCTTAAGAGGTGTAGAGTAGAATCTATGCATCCACAAGGCAGTGGTGCAGTCGGCCTCATGAACTAGGGAGTTTCTTCTTCTTTGTATTTTTTTGAGACAGGGTCTCACTATGTTGCCCAGGCTGGAGTGCAGTGGTCTGATCTTGGCTGACTTCAGCCTTGACCTCCCAGGCTCAGGGGATCCTCCCACCTCAGCTTCCTGAGCAGCTGGGACCACAGGCACATACCACCATGCAGGGCTGATTTTTGTATTTTTTTGGTAGAGATGGGATTTTGCAGTGTTGCCCAGATAGATGTCGAGCTCCTGAGATCAAGCAATCCACCTGCTTTGGCCTCCCAAAGAGCAGGAATAGGGGATTTCTTCTTGGCATCCAAGTCTTTTTAAAGCTCTTCAAGTTTTAAAAGCTAGGTTTGCTATGTCATGGTTCTGAGCCAAATATATTCCAACCACATCGCCCAAAGTAAATCCAACTGGGAACTGGAGCAGGATGTCAGTAGGGAGGGTGAGGGTGGGATGAAGGGCTGCTGCAGCTCCAATGGCTGGTCCTAGCCTGCTTCCTCCATTGTGGGGCCCAGGGAGGGAGGAATAACAGACATTTACTGAACACTTACTATGTGCCAGGTTGTGTTCTAAGTGAGTTAATGATTTAATCCAACAATCCTCTGGAGTCGGTAGTGCTGTAATCTTCATTTTCCAGTTCATTCATGTGGGGTACAGAGTGTGTAAGGGAACTGACAAGGCCACATGAAAATTATGCAGCTGGGATTGAACCCAGGGCATCTGGCCCCAGAGCTGTCTTATTTAACTCCCATGCTCACTGTCTCCATCATGGCACCACGACCAATGTCCACCCATTCCCCCTTTCTGACTCAGGGGCCAGGCTAGCCCTTTCATCTAGTCTCTTCTAGTCTCATGGTGACTTTATGTTGAAAGCTTTGAATCCTTGTTTCTGGACCTTGATTGGGGCTCCATGGGTCCACCTTGGCAGTTCTCTCTGAATTTGATTTTAGGGAGTTGAGGGAGACTGTGTTGTTCCCTCCCAGCCCAGGACAAAGTGCTTTGTCTCTTTCCTAATATCCAACACTTCCTACTGAGGGGTGAAGCCACTTTACTCAGAAGGCAAGAGGTCAAAATGTCTTGCCTTCTTTGAAGACAGCATGAGACCACCCATTATACATACAATAACTACAGGAATCCACTCAACTGTCTTTTCATAGAACCAAAGCACGTCCTTGATTATATGGAAAACTATCTAGCATCTTCACTGTAAATGAAAGAAAAAAACCCAAGTGTAACTTTCTTTTCTTTCTTTCCTTCCCTTCTTTCTTTCTTTCTTTCTTTCTTTCTTTCTTTCTTTCTTTCTTTCTTTCTTTCTTTCTTTCTTTCTTTCTTCCTTCCTTCTTTCTTTCTTTCTTTCTTTCTTTTCTTCCTTTCTTCCTTTCTTTTTCTCTCTCCCTCTTTCTTTATCTCTCTCTATCTTTCTTTCCTTCCTTCCCCCTCGTTACTTTCTTTCTCCCTTTCCTCCCCTCCCCCTCCCTCCCCTCCCTCCTTCTTTTCTTTTACTTTCTTTTTTTTCTTTCTACAGAGTTTTGCTCTTGTTGCCCAGGCTGGAGTGCAATGCTGCAATCTCAGCTCACTGCAACCTGTGCCTGCCGGGCTCAAGCAATTCTCCTGCCTCAGCCTCCCAAGTAGCTGGGATTACAGGCACCTGCCACCACATCTGGCTAATTTTCATATTTTTAGTAGAGACGAGGTTTCACCATGTTGGCCAGGATGCTCTCAAACTCCTGACCTCAGGTGATCCACCCACCTTGGCCTCTCAAAGTTCTGGGATTACGGGTATGAGCCACTGCTCCTGGCCAGCTCTTTTTCTTGATAGAAGGAAGGAAGGAAGGCCTGTGGAGGCAGCATCTGTCTGGCTCACTGCTGTGGTTCTAAGGTGTCACCCATTCCAATACTTGGCATATAGATGGGCTGAGTGCATGTCGGAGAGGCAAAAGGCGGGAGCAGAGCTTGACTATGTGGCTGCTCCTCTTCTAGGTACTGTCTTTCTACAATGTCAGCCAGATGGGTGCTCTGCTGGTCGGGGTCAGCACCCAGGACTTCTGCAGCATGGACCGCAAGGACCTCTCGCAGGTCCTGAGAAGTGCTGTCTCCCAGTATGTGTTCAACTTGTCACCTGCCCAGAAGCAAGGTATCCTCAGCAAGGTGAGAGGGAAGATGTCTGGTGCTCAGCCACGTGGCTCGCTCACAGTGGGTGTGGTTTTGCAGTTTGGTGAGTTGGCTGTGACTGTGGGCCATGAATCCAGGGGTGGGATTGTCTCAGCTATCAGTGTCTGGAGTGGCTCTGCCTTCTCCTGGCGGCTCACCTTCCCTCCTTTCCAGACAGAGCCCTTCAGTCATGTTGCCATTCTTTCCGGACCCCATTTTCCCCCCAGTCTAATCTGGAAGACTTTCTTAAATCAGGTTTCCTGATCTTATAACACTTCAAAAGATTTTTTTTTTTTGAGACAATTTTATTTGTTACTCACGCTGGAGTAAAGTGGTTGATCGTAGCTCACTGCAGTCTCTCCCTCCCTCCCTCCCTTCCTCTCTTCCTTCCTTCTTTCCTTTCTTCTTTCCTTCCTTCCTCCCTCCCTCCCTCTCTCCCTTCCTTCCTTCCTTCTTTCTTTCTCAGAAAGAAAGCAATCCTCCTGCCTCAACCTCCTAAATAGCTGGGATCATAGGCATGATCACCACACCTGCTTATTTTTAAACTTTTTGTAGAGATATTGTTTTGCTATGTTGCCCAGGCTAGTATTGAACTCCTGGCCTCAAGCTACCATGCTTGGCTAATTTATTAATTTTTTATAGAGATGGAGTACTGCTATATTGCCCAGTGTGGTCTCCAACTCCTGGCCTCAAATAATCTTTCTGCCTTGGCCTCCCAAAGTGCTGAGATTACAGGTGTGAGCCACTGTACCTGGCCTAAAATTTGCTTTTCAACTCTAAAAATAAGCTCAAAAGTTCTAGGGGGCATCTGAAAGTCCTTTTCACTGTCCATAGCCACATCTGTATTCCATTTTGTTTGTTTAGATAGGGTCTTGCTCTATTACCCTGGCCAGCATGCAGTGGCATGAGCTTGGTTCACTGCAGCCTCAACCTCCAGGGCTCAAGTGATCCTCTCACCCTCCCGTGTAGCTGAGACTACAGACCTGTGCCACTGGCTGATTTTTATGTTTTTTTTGGTAGAGACGGGGTCTTGCCATATTGCTCAGGCTGGTCTCAAACTCCTAGGCTCAAGTGATCTGCCCACCTCGGCCTCCTATAGTGCTGGGATTACAGGTGTGAGCCACCATGTCTGGCCCCTTTTTACTTGTCAGGGAAATCAAAACCTAAGGGGTTTGGCCTAAAACGCCAGCACCCTGCATATAGCAGTAGCTCATATGGTTAAAATAAAGAGCATGGGTTTTGGAGTAAGACAAAGTTGGCCTTGCATCTCACTGACTTTCAACTCTTCACCCTTGAAGTCTCTGTTTCCTAGCCTGTGAAATGGGAATGATGCCACTGTCCACTTCCTAGGGTTGCTGAGTGGGTCTGATGGATTTTATAGCCTGTGATGTAATGTCCGGCCCTTCCTCAAAGCTCAATACATCTTTTTTTACAAGGTTGTTGTGTTGCTTCTCACTTTTGGCAGATGATCGAATCGGGAGACACTGCCTCAGGCATTGTGGAGATACAAGGGGCTTTCTTTAAGGAAGTGTCTCTCTTTGATTTAAGGAGGGAACCTGGATTCAACTCTACAGTCCTGAAGGAAAAGGAACTTGGGAGGAGCCAGGTATTACCATGAAGCAGAGATTGATCCTATATTTCTGTCTGTCTGGTGAGAATGAATGGTCTCTTTTAAGGTTAATTTGATAAAAGAAATTTATTTCTGTGTGATTAAACCCAGGAGGCAGAATAGTATAGTATTAAGAAATTGAACAGGCAGAGGCAGGAGGATCGCCTGACGCCCAGAGTTCAAGACCAGCCTGGGCAACATAGAAAGACCCTGCCTCTACAAAAAGTTAAAAAATGAGCCAGGCATGGTGATGCATGCCTGTGGTCCCAGCTGCTCAGGAGGCCAGGGCAGGAGAATCGCTTGAGCCTGGGAGTTCCACACTGCAGTGAGCTATGGTCATGCCACTGCACTCCAGTCTGGGCAACAGAGCAAGACTGTGCCTCTTAAAAAAAAACGAGTTAGACAAGACCTTAGCATGAATTCTGGCTCCCACTTATTTATTAGCTTTGGAGAAGTTCCTTACATGGCCTCAGTTTTCTCGTGTGCAAAATGGGGATAATTTTGATAATAAAATGAGGGTCACTGGTGTATGCCAGCTGGGCCATGTGCTATAAATACTCACGGCTGTGATGTGTCTTATTAAATGCTGCCAGCATTGAGGCTGCTTGGGGGGATGGTGCTGTTGAAGTGGATGCTCTGCCTTAGCACTGTCCTTGATTTCCTTTGCATTCAGTTAGTCTTCATTACATGCACCCAGCAAATGTTTATCAAGCACTGCTCATCAATGCGCCAGGTGCTGTTCACAGCGCTGAGAGTGCAAAAGTGAATGAAATAGATACAAATCCCTGTCTGTTCCAGGGCCTCTTGCTCAGGGTCTCTCATGAGGCTGGATGATATCTCAGTGACCTATTGCTGTGTCACAAACCACCTCTAAATTTAGTGACAGTGGCAACCATTTTATTATTTTATTTTTTGAGGCAGAATCTCTTGGTAGCTCAGGCTGGAGTGCAGTGGCACAATCTTGGCTCACTGTAACCTCCGTCTCCTGAGTTCAAGCAATCCTCATGCCTCTGCCTCCTGAGTAGCTGGGATTACAGGCACATGCTCTCATGCCTGGCTAATTTATGTATTTTTTTTATCGAGATGGGGTTTTACCATGTTGGCCAGGCTGGTGTCAAACTTCTGACCTCAAGTGATCCGCCTGCATTGGCCTCCCAAAGACTTGGGATTACAGGTGTGAGCCAGGGTGCCCGGCCAATCATTTTATTTTGGAAAATACATCCTGCCACCAAAAACTTCAAGATACGTTTGTCTCCACCAGGCATGGTGGTCCATGCCTGGAATCCCAGCACTCTGGGAAGCTGAGGCAGGTGGATCACAAGGTCAGGAGATCGAGATCACCCTGGCCAACATGGTGAAACTTGTCCCTACTAAAATACAAAAAATTAGCTGGGCGTGGTGGCACATGCCTGTAGTCCCAGCTACTCAGGAGGCTGAGGCAGGGGAATTGCTTGAACCCAGGAGGTGGAGGTTGCAGCGAGCTGAGATTGCCCCACTACACTCCAGCCTGGCAACAGAGGAAGACTCCGTCTCAAAAAAAAAAAAAGATACTTTTGTCTCAGCCACTGGGCTGATGGATTGTCATTTCCTGAGATGGGGAAGACCATGGGAGGGTCCCAGAATTTGACCCCATGCCCAAGGAAGTCTCTGGGGCCACACACAGTGTCCAGAACTTCTCTCCGTCGCCCGCCCCTTTTGCCTGGGCTTTTGTGCTGCTTTATGGCTCTCAGCTACCATGTCTAACACTAGCTCGTAATTTATTCTGTTTGGGGAATGATGCTCAAAGTTTCAGAGTCTATAAAATAGACAAATGTAGTACTTGATTGCATCTGCAAGTTAGGGATTCTGTAAAATTATGTTCCTTAAAACAAATGACTCCCCTGTCTACTTAACATTGTTCTAGAGTGCTCATCTGGGGGTGGTTGGAAGCGAGTGCATGCTGCAGGCTGCAGGTACTTTATTGCTGGTGCTTTCTAGCCCATCCTGGTCTATTCTGGGATGCCTGGTGTTCAGGACCTGGCAGGTGCACATGTAAATAGGAGTCACAGGGAGTTCTCAGCTTGTCAGCAGCTTCATAAAGCACAGGATGTAAAACTCCAGCCCTGCCACCAACATCTTTGCTTCTCATCCGCCTCATGGAGTATAGGGAATCACCTGGCATGTGAGAGCAGGGTTCTGGAATTACCTTGACACCAATTCAAATCTTGGCACTGCCACTTAGCAATGGTCTGGTCCTACGTAACTGACATAACCTGTGAAGCCTCCATTTCCCCATCTGTAAAATGGGATTGTGGAGCGCCTTCCCGATAGGGCCTCACGCTGAGTGTGCCATCAGTGCTGTCGATCATTCTCTTCTCTCAGGCTCTGTTCCTGTATGAGCTTCTGTTAAAGACCACCAGAAGACCTGAGGAGCTTCTGAGGTAGGACAACGTAACTTAGCCTGGATGCCGAACAGGCTTCCTTCTGCCAGAGGAGCCTACTTTCCCAGGAGGGAGAGTTAGGCAGTCACGTCTATAGCGTGTGTCTGATCACGTCTGCCTTCTCCTGCTCTTTCTTTCCTCTCCTCCCCAACCCCTTTCTCTCCCGAGTCCCTTGTTTTGTTTTCTAGTGCTGGGCAGCTGGTGAAAGGTGTGACCTGCTCACACATTGATGCCATGAGCGCCGACTTCTTTCTGGCCCATTTCCAGGATTTTCAGAACAACTTCGCCCTGCTTTCACCATATCAGGTACCGTTTAAAGCATTTTCTAACTTCTGATTCTCTCTCCCTTCCCCAGTCACTGGGCTGGCATTGGCTGTGGCTTCTAAAGATCTTTATGCCAGAATTATTCAGACACAAGTGATGACTTGGGGCCAAAGATTGAGTCAGTTTTTTTTTTTTTTCCAGTTTCTTTTAAAACAGCTCCAAATACCCACATCTCTACAGCCAAAGTATCAACAGATTGATTATTCCATTCTCAAAGTTGAAGCTTAAAATATATTCATAAGGGATAGTATTTTGCATGTTCACAATTATGCTCTCCTGGGATGGAAGATAATCCTTCAGCTAGTATTCCAATGCTTTGCAGGAGTAGCTGTGAATGCGAACAGTACTCTGAGAGCATTTGCTTTCTCACTTAAAACTTCATTTTCCAAAAGACTATGGAGGCTGTTTAACCCTTTGGGGGCACTGGAAGTAGTAACTGATTTTTTTTTTTTTTGACAGGATCTTGCCCTGTCGCTCAGGCTGGAGTGCAGTGGCACGATCATGGTTCACTGCAGCCTCAACCTCCTGGGCTCAAGTGATCCTCCCACCTCAGCCTCTTGAGTAGCTAGGACTAAAGGTATACATCACCATGCCTGGCTAACTTATTTATTTTTCGTAGAGTTGGGGTCTTGATATGTTGCCCAGGCTGGTCTCAAACACCTGGGCTCAAGTGATCCTCCTGCCTCAGCCTCCCAAAGTGCTGGCATGGCAGGCATGAGCCACTGAGCCCAGCCAGTGACTGATTTTTCACAGTGTCTAAGCCAGTAAACACAGGCCTTGCAACATTTGAACTTCCGGTGTGAACCATTGGCTTACAGACTCCTGTAACGGATATAAAAGGCATCTTCTCAACTCTGGCCTTGTGTTTCAGACCAGAATAAAGACTTTCCAAAAAGTAAATTATCTCCCAGAAAACCAGGAAGCATAGCGTGCTTGGTGTATAATCCTTTGAGATCATTAGAGGAATATGTAAAGTTTTAATGAAGCTCTGTCATTCTCTTGGACTGTTAATTCTTTTAGTGACTCTCAGAGCTGAGCTCGTGTCAGCATTGTCTGGAAGGCTGTTAAAACACAAATTGGGACCCCACTCCCAGAGTTTTACATATAGTAGGTAACGGGTGAGGCCTGAGGCTTTGCATTTCTAATGGGTTTGCCAGTACAAACCACTGAACTATATTAAAAGACCTGCCCAAGTGGACAAGCCAGTAATTGAGCAAAAGGATGGAGGCCAGACCTGCTTTGAGGAAGACCTACATGTTCGAGCAGGAAGGTTTGCCCCAACCAAGGTGCTTCCCTAGGCTTCCAGTTCTCAGAGCCTTCAAATACCAGTTAATTAGAAACTTTACCTTTCTTATTTATATTTTTACGGAAAACACATTATTATTATTATCATTATTATTATTGAGACAGGATCTTGCTCTGTTGCCCAGGCTGGAATGTAGTGGTTCGATCTCAGCTCACTGCAACCTCCGCCTCCAGGTTCAAGTGATTCTCCTGCCTCAGCCTCCCGAATAGCTGGGATTTTAGCCTCCCGCCACCACACCTGGCTAATTTTTTGCATTTTTAGTAGAGACAGGGTTTCACCATGTTGGCCAGGTGGTCTCGAACTCCTGACCTCCAGTGATCCATCAGTCTCAGCCTCCTAAAGTGCTGGGATTACAGGCATAAGCCACCACGCCTTTCCTGAAAACACATAATTATTAAAAAAAAAAAAAAAAATAGAGAAAGTAAAATTTCCCCAAATTTTTCCTAGAGCAGTTGTTCTCAACAGAGTACCATTTTGGCCTCCTAGGGACTTTTGGCTATGTCTGCAAATACTTTTGGTTGTCACAGCTGGAGCAGAGCTACTGGCATCTAATGGGTAGAGGCCAGGGTTGTGGTTCAACATCCTACAATGCATAAGACAGCATCACTACACAGAGGTATCTGGTCCAAAATGTCAATTATACTGAGGTGTTTGAACCATGTTTCAGAGGCAACTATAAAGAACAGTTTGCTCTCATTTTTGAGAGTTTTATTTTATAAATAAAATATAGGCCAGGTGCAATGACTCATGCCTGTAATTCCTGCACTCTGGGAGGCTGAGGTGGGAGGATCACTTGAGGACATGAGTTTGAAATGAACCTGGGCAATGTGTAGCAAGACTCTATCTCTACAAAATATACAAAAATTAGCCAGGTGTGGTGGCACATGCCTGTAGTCCTAGCTACTTGGGAAGCTGAGGCAGGAGGATCACTTGAACTCATGAGTTCAAGGCTGCAGTGAGCTATAATTGAGTCACTGCATTCCAGCCTGGGTGGCAGAGTGAGACTCTATCTCTGAACAAAATTTAAAAAAACATATATACTTATGTGTAATATAGAAACCACAAGTGGGCTGGGTACAGTGGCTTATGCCTATAATTCTAGCACTTTGGGAGGCCGAGGTGGGCGGATCACTTGAGGTCAGGAGTTTGAAACCAGCCTGGTCAACATGTTGAAACCCCATTTCTACTAAAAATAATAAAAAAAAATTAGCCATTCGTGGTGATGGGTGCCTATAATCCCAGCTACTCGGGAGGCTGAGGCAGGAGAATTGCTTGAACTCGGAAGGTGGAGGTTGCGGTGAGTTGAGATTGCATCACTGTACTCCAGCCTGGGTGACAGAGCGAGACTGTCACTCTGGTTTAAAAAAAAACAAAACAAAACAAAAAACCCATAAGTGAGCTCATACTATACACACTGTTCTGTTTAACTATGTATATGGCTAAGCTATATATATATATAAAACTATATATAGTTAAGCTATCTATGTAACTATATATAATTAAGTATAACTATATATAGTTAAATATAACTGTGTAACTATATGCATAGTTATACATATAAACTATATATAGTTTAACAGAATAGTGTGTATAATATGAGCTCATTTGTGGTTTTTACATGATATATAACTATATAATGTAATATAGCTTAACTATATATATGCACATGCATAAAATAGCACAGACATCATTTAGTGTCGATATATATAAATCTACCTTATTAAAACAAAGTAGGTGCACTATTCCATTGTATGTATGTACCATATTTTACTTAACCAATCCCTACTGAGGAATGTTAAAATTATATCTCCCTTTCTTGCAGATATAAACAAAATTGTGATGAGCATTCTCATAGTTAAATGTCTGTGTTCATGTTTGTTATTGCCTTAATGATCTTATCCATGCACTAGGCACAGTAGTGGTACCCACATCATAGAGTGCTCTATTGCATAAGTGAACACATATGAAACACTTAGAATAGTGCCTCAATAGCACATGGAAAGCGCTATCTGTGTTTACTCTTCTTCTTACTGCACTAAATCCCCAGAAATGCTTAATCTTTCAGGTTAATTGTTTGGCGTGGAAATACTGGGAAGTTTCCAGGTTGTCTATGCCACCTTTCCTCTTGGCTGCACTCCCGTAAGTGAACACAAGCCCCCACTTTCTGGCGCAGTAGGGTCCGTGGGAATCACTGAAGTCAAAGTGATTTTCTCCCCACTGGGTTTTCTTGAGGAACCAGAGGCAGAATGAAGCGTGCCTTAGACAGTTAAGCCCTTGAGGTCCAGGATTTCAATTCTAGCATCACACAGACCCTCTTGCTTTTCTTGTTATGTAAAAACCAAGCCGAAGCAACCCAAGCCTGAATGAGTGTCTGTCAGTGAAGCAGGTCCCAGCTGGCCTGGCTTTGTGGCTGTGCCAGGCTCCACAGGAATCAGGGCTGATGGGAGCAGTAGGCGTTTCTCCTGGCATGTGTGAGCTTTCAGGCCTGCAGGACAGCCCTGCTTTTCAAACATGATCTGGACATTGTTTCTCTCCTTCTCTCCTGATTTCCCTCTACCTTCTTTTGTTCTTATTGTCTTTATTCATTCAAAAAAATGTTCATTGAGTACTTGCTGTGTGCTATTTCTCAGATACCTAAATTTTCTTTTTATAAGATCTTATAATCTCATGGTGGGAGAGAGAATAGACAAGCATGAATTCAATTATAATATCAGGTTGATATTTGATTGAAAATGATATAACTGAAACTCAAACTGACTTATGCAATAAAAGGGAATTTTTGATTCAGGTAATTGGAAAGTTCAGAGAGGGACTTCAGGCATGGCTGAATCTAGAGGTTCAAATGATGTCATTTGTCTCTTGTTCCAGCTTTTCTCTGTTGGCTTCACTATCAGGCAAGTTCTTTCTCTGTGGGAACCCTGGCAGATCTAAGGTTAAATTTTCCCAGCTTCATATTCAGGGAAAAGAGAAAAATGTTCTTTACCCATCATTCTCAATACACATCTTGGGTTTGACTCTCATTGACCTTAATTGGGCAAATTTGTTTTTCTTGAACCAATCAGTGAGATTGGGAGGATGGGTAACTTTGACTTCGATCTGTATTTGCACCCCTGGAGCTGGAGAGAAAACACAAGGACCTACAGCGAGGGAGAGTGTTTTCCAAGAAAAACCAGATGCTTTCCAAGAAAGCCACATGCTGTTACACACCTCTGTTAGCACAGAGGCAGAAGAACATATTTTTGGGGAAGATGTTGAATCTGGTTTTGGGACAGTCAAGTGGTGGGGTTGAGTAGGCCAGATGGGTTTCATGCAGCCTTTCTTAACTTTTTTATTGCCTTCCAAAGGAGAGACAAAGGGGATGGATAATGAGCACTGGGCATAGGGGAGGGAATATCACCTACAGACTGGAGAAACAGGGGAGACTGTACTCATGCTGGATAGAGAGTTTAAGATGAACATTCCAGGCAGTGGAATGGGAATGTCCAGTTCAGCAGTCAGTAAGAAAAGCAAAGCACTCTGGGAACATGGGGGTGTATACACATGGGGGTGTATCTGCAGAGTAGATAGGGGAGAGAAAGCCAGAGGAGCAAGGGACATCAGATCATGGGGGCTTTGCGAAGTGAGGTGTTTCACTCATATTCTGTGTGCAGCCATCAGATTTATATTTCAGAAAGATTATACCCTCTAGGCATATGGAGGATACAATGCAGGGAGGCTGAATGGAAGGAAGGGAGGCAGCAGATTATTTCAGTAACCCAGATCTTGGCATGGCATTTATTTCACTCATTCATGTCTCAGCTCAAATGGAACTGCCTTAGAAGGGGCTCGTTTGATTACTCCCATCATCATTCTCTTTTACCATTTCATTTTCTTCCTTACATTAATTAATTAATTAATTTTTGAGACAGAATCTCACTCTGTCACCCAGGCTGGAGTGCAGTGGTGTGATCTTGGCTCATTGCAACCTCTGCCACCTGGGTTCGAGCGATTCTCCCACCTCAGCCTCCCTGGTAGCTGGGATTACAGACATGTGCCATCACACCCTACTAATTTTTGTATTTTTTGGTAGAGACATGGTTTCACCTTGTTGGCTAAGCTGGTCTCGACCTCAGAAGACCTGCCTCGGCCTCCCAAAGTGCTGGGATTACAGGTGTGAGCCACCACACCCGGCCTTCTTCCTTACATTTATTAATAGCTGAAACAAAATATTTTATTCATTGGTTTCTGTGTTTCTTGTCTCTACTAGAATTAAGCACCACAAATGCAGGACCACTTGTGTCTTCTTCATTGTTATATTTGGTGCCTAGAACAGTGCCTAGCTTACTGTAGATGCTTTGTAGATATTTATTGGATGAAGGAAGAAATAAATAAGATAGTAGTACTGGGAATGGAGAAGTAAGAATAGATCTTTTGTTGTTGTTTCGAGACAGGGTCTCATTCTGTCACCCAGGTTGGAGTGCAGTGGTGTGAACTGAGCTCACTGCAACCTCGGCCTCCCAGGTTCAAGTGATTCTTCTCCTTCAGCCTCTGGAGTAATTGAGACCACAGGTGCATACAACCATGCCTCCCTAATTTTTTGTATTTTTGGTAGAGATGGGGTTTTACCATGTTGCTCAGGCTGGTCTCGAACTCCTGATCTCAGGTGATTCACCCACCTTGGCCTCCCAAAGTGCTGGGATTACAGTTGTGAGCCATCGCACCTGGCCAGAAGTGAGAACAGATTTGAATAATACTGAGGATATAGCAATGACAGTCTTGGGATAAAGAAAAAAAGGAGTGTGGGTTAGCACAGAGGCGGAAGAACATGTTTGGGGGAAGATGTTGAATCTGGTTTTGGAACAGTTGAGTAGTGGGGTCGAGTAGGCCAGATGGGTTTCATGCAGCCTTTCTCAACTTTTCTTATTGCCTTCCAAAGGAGAAAATTTTAATTTCTCCTAAGTCAAATAAATTATACACTGATGAAAAGTATTTTGAGTAGGGTTGAGCTTCAGTGGGTTACGGATCATTGTCGTAACTAAATATTTTTTACCCCTCATCCAAAACAATTTCTCCTTCTTGAGGGTGACATTGACCCTGTTGAGAATACATGGTCAAGAGCTGAAGGGTCAAGAGCTGAAGGCAGAGTTCTAGACTGGAGATGACAGAATTTCTCTTTCTACTTTCTTTTTCTTACTTTTTTTCTCACTTTCTACTTATTCTCTCTACTCTTTGTCTCTTTCTTCACCTACTTTTCCTTTCTTTTTCGTCTTCCCTCAACTAGTCCATCAATTAACATGTTTATGGAGAACCTATTCTCTGATCAGTGCTCTGGAGCATTATGGGTAGCAAGATGGGAAGTTTGTTCCCACCCATAGAAGAAGAGCATGATGGGAAGTGTGTTGCCCATTCATAGAAGATGACCATAATGGGAAATTTGTTCCCACCCGTAGAAGAGAAGCACGATGGATGGGAGGTTTGCTACCTGCCACAGGGAGCCACAGCATCACTGGGGAGAACAAATATTTAAAGAATGCCCCTGGGATGAACTCTTGGGCATGTGGACCCTGATTTTAGGGGCCAATAGCAAGCAGCCAGTTCCTTCTCCTCTTGTTCTCCCCATCTCTCTCCAGGGCCCGCTACCTGGCTTCTGTCCCAGCCTCTCAGTGTGTGCCCTTTCTGATCAGCCTGGGGAAGAGCTGGTTGGACTCCTTGGTTTTAGATTCTCACAAAAAGACTTCAGTCCTCAGGAAAGTGCAGCAGTGCCTGGTAAGAAAACTTCCTGGGTGTCCCCTCCCCTCTAGATGTCTGTGGCCATCTTGGGGAGCCCTGTGAGGGATCTGTCTGGGATCTCGAGCCTGCTTTGATGGCCGGAAGTCTGACTTGTGGGTCTTGAAGCTGACTCTAAAGCTGCTGGTTGGAACCATCTTGGTCATTGGTTCTGGTGACTTCTGGCCCAGGGCCCAAAGGAGAGGAGGCTACTCTTGAGGGATGGGAAGAGCCCGTACCCAGAGTCTGGGTGCCAGTGATTGGTTATGTGGCTTTGGGCAAATCACCTTCCCTCCCTGAGCCTCAGTCTCCTCATCTGTAAGGTGAGTGTAATAGCACATCCCCCATAGAGTATTTTTTTTTTTTGGGACAGAGTCTCACTGTGTCACCCAGGCTGGAATGCAGTGGTGTGATCTCAGCTTGCTGCAACCTCTGCCTCCCAGGTTCAAGTGATTCTCTTGCCTCAGCCTCCCAAGTAGCTGAGACTACAGGTGCACACCACCACACTTGCCTATTTTTTGTATTTTTAGTAGAGACAGGGTTTCACCATGTTGGCCAGGCTGGTCTCGAACTCCTGACATCAGGTAATCCACCCATCTCAGCCTCCCAAGATATTGAGATTACAGCCATGAGCCACCATGCCAGGCCTTCTCATAGAGTATTGAGAACACGAAATGGGCAATGTATTATTTAATGTAAAGGCTCAAAGACCAGAGTGTCTGGGAGTGAATCCTAGCCTTGCCACTAGCTGGCAGTTTCTTTATCCTTAAAAAATGGATAATAGTAGTACTTACTTCTTACAGTTACTTTGAAGATGAATAGATTGAGACCCATAGATACTCAGACAGTGCCCGCACATAGGAAATACACAATAAATGTCAACAATTTTTGTCATTTTGTGAAAGTGCAAAAGAGCTTTGAAAGCTTTCGAGTGCCATACAAACTTTGAAGTGCTGTTTTTATTTTTGTGGTGCTAATAGTATAACGGTGGTTGAACTCTGGAATATTCTCAGAGCAATAACAATGACAGCAGTGCTCATTTACTGAGTGCTCCTGGTATGCCAAGATCAGGGTTTCCCAGATATCTGAGGCCTGCCTCCCTGGGGAAGATCAGGTCTTGTTCCATCTCTAGAATCCATTACAGAGTAGGCAGTTCAGATCCTGAAATCTTTAAGAGTTTGGGATTGGAACTTTTTTTTTTTTTTTGAGACAGTTTTCCTCTGGAGGCTGGAGTGAAATGGCATGATCTTGGCTCACTGCAACCTCTGCCTCCTGGGTTCAAGTGATTCTTGTGCCTCAGCCTCCCAAGTAGCTGAGGCAACAGGCATGTACCATGATGACTGGCTAAGTTTTGTATTTTAGATGGGGCTTCACCCTGTTGGCCAGGCTGGTCTCAAACTCTTGACCTCAAGTGATCCACCTGCCTCAGCCTCCCAGAGTGTTGGGATTATAGGCATGAGCCACAGCGTCCAGCCCCCAGGATGTGTGTCTAATGGCTCATGATCTTATGCCCTGCTGGAACTGCCCATTGACTCCACTTGTTGGGTTTAGGATGACTCCATTCCTGATGAGTACACTGTGGACATCGTGGGGAACCTGCTCTGTCACTTGCCGGCAGCCATCATCGACAGGGGGATCTCCTCTAGGGCCTGGGCCACTGCTTTGCACGGCCTCAGAGACTGCCCAGACCTCAACCCCGAGCAAAAGGCTGCAGTGAGGCTCAAGCTCCTGGGACAGTATGGGTGAGGAGCGGCTGGTGATTGGCTTTTGGGGGTGTGGTATGCTCTGCGGGAGGGACACCCAACCTTGGATCTCCTGCCCTACCAACAGAAGCCTCTGGCTTAGGATGAGGTAAAATTCTTATGCTTAGTTTGGAAATGTGACCATTCTTCTTTTGGTTTCAGATTTGCTGTAAAGTGGAATCAATAGTTAACTGCCCTACAAATCTCAAAGAGTTGTTACTTACATTGCTTGGCATATGAAAGGGAAAATTTGGAAAAGATGGTCCTTTACAGATGCAAGGTGGTGGTATTATTATTAAAGACTTTTTTTTTTTTTTTTTTTTTCGAGACAGGGTCTCACTCTGTCACCCAGGCTGCAGTGCTGTGGCACAATAATGGCTCGCTGCAGCCTCAACCTCCTTGGGCTCAGGTGATCCTCCCACCTCAGCCTTCTGAGTAGCTGGACCACAGGTGCACATCACTATACTGAGCTAATTTTTGTATTTTTTTTAAGGGATAGAATTTCACCATGTTGCCTAGGTGGGTCTTGAACTCCTGGGCTCAAGGGATTTACCCACCTCAGCCTCCCACAGTGCTGGAATTACAGGCATGAGCCATCATGTCTGACCCTAGAGACTATTTTTAAAACTAGTTTTAGGTTCTCAGAAAAATTGAGACGATAGAGATTTCCCATCTCCCTCTGACCCCGTACATGCATAAGCTCCCCATGATCAATATCCCCCACCAAAGTTGTACGTTTATTAGAACTGATGAACCTATGTTGACATTATTGTCATTGGATTCTCATTATCACCCAAAGTCCATATTTTACATTAGGGTTCACTCTTGGTGCTTTCCATACTATGGGTTCAGACAAGTGTATAATAACATGTATTCACTGTTATAATATCATATGGAGTATTTTTGCTGCCCTAAAAATCCTTCTGGGCTTTTTCTGTTCATTCCTCCCTCACTCCTAATTCCTGACAACCACTGATAACTTTTGCCTTTTCTAGAATATCATATATTAGGAATCATACAGTAGATAGCTTTTTCAGATAGATTTCTTTTACTAATAGGCACTTAAGTTTTCTCCAGGTGTATTTTTGGCTTGATAGCTCATTTCTTTTTAGTGCTGAATAATATTTCATTGTCTTAATGAACCACAGTTTATTTAGCCATTCACCCACCAAAGGACATCTTGGTTGCTTCCAAGTTTTGGCAGTTATGGATAAAGCTGCTATAAACATCCGTATGCAGGTTTTCATGTAGACATAAGTTTTCACCTCCTTTGCATAAATACCAAAGTGTGTGTTTGCTGGGCTATATGGCAAAATCATGTTTGCTTTTGTAAGAAATCACCAAAATGTCTTCCAAAGTGGCTGTATGATTTTGCATTCACACCAGCTGTCACTGCTAATTGGGCAGACCTCCTTTAGAGATGTCACCAAAGATAGTGTAATGCTCTTCACTGTAGGCATTTATGGTCTATATAAGAATAACAGTGGATTCTGGGTCAGTGCTTTTATTTTATCCTGCCAAATTCAAGAGAAAATTTCTTTCTTATTCTCAGAGAAGACTGTTATGGTAAATTAAAAGGAGGAAATATATCATTGCTCTTCTATTGAGGAGGCGGAGGAAGGAAACACTGTGATATAAATGGCAGAAATTCAATAGTTCAATTCAAACTGAAGAGAATGGGGATGTATTGAATTCAGGAATGGAATATGATGGAAAACTACATGGGTGGTCTTCAGGCATGGCTGAATCAAGTGTCTCAAATGACATCATCAGGAATACGTTCCTCCAGTTCCTCAGCTCTTCCTTGGTGTGGTCTTTATTTTTTCCACTTGGTTATATGAATGTCCTCCAAAATCCTCTTTACTGCCAGAGATACCAGAGAAAAGAGAGCTTCTCTGATAGTTCCATCAAAATTCCCAGGGATGACTCTGGTTGGTCAGCCTGCATCACATGCCAATTTTCTTGGTCAAGGAAATGGGATCATGTGATTGACAGCTTTTCTAAGTATAAGATAATCTATTCCTGAAAGAAAAGGCAACAGATGTTTACCACAGTATGGTTTTTCACTTTACTGGCTATTATCTTTTTTTAGACTCCCTCAGTACTGGACAGCTGAGACCACGAAGGACTTGGCATCCTTTCTAGTGCTTTTCTCAGGAGATGAATTAAGCTCTATAGCCATAAAGGTAATGTTGTGCTCCATCTTAAGAAGGCTGAAGGAGTTTGAAGGGAAAGAAAGTGTGGTCAGTTATACACCATTGGGTTTACTGCTGTCTATGGTTCTGGAAGCTTCCTCCCTGCCTCAAAGCTAAGAGGTTTCCAGCTCCATTCCAGGATGTGAAAGGTTCTGGAAAAGGGAGTGAGGCCACAGCTAAATGAACTCAGGCCCTTTGGTGTGGCCCTCTAGGCAGATGTGTGCAGACAGGTGTCGCTTAGCCACCACTCTGCTATTAGTGTGCATGTCACATGCACACCTGTCCTGGCTTTCACACTGGCTGGTGCCCTGTGCACATGCACATGTATTCTCAGTGTATGCAATCACATGTGCAAACACATTCAATCCAATAACAAGTCTTTATTGACCATTAAATTTGGGCACAGCACTTTTCTTGGAGTAACGCTCCAGAAGTTAGACAGTCTAGGCCAAGGGACATGCAAAATGAGCATGAATTGGTTATTTTTATTGCATTACAAAGCCACAGCATCTCAAGGGTATAGAACAATTCTCATGTATCTCTTGCTGCCTGATTTGTGGGTCACTGGGACAGCCCTGCTCCGTAAGGCTGTCTCTGGAGCCCAGGCTCTAGAACTTGTTCTCACCATGGAGGTGTGAAGCTACCAAAAAGGGAAGGGATAAGTATAATTCTCCTTCTGCCCTAGGCTGGAAATTGGCACGCTATCACTTCTGCTGCATTCCAATGGCCAAAGTAAGTTAGATGACCAAGCCCAACTTTAATGGGGCAGGAAGGAGTTTCCTTCCATGGAGGTAGAGGGTAGGAAAGTAAAGGAGCGAATGTTTGCTGACCAGTAATCAGATCTCCCACAAAGTACATCCACACACTCTCATTCCTGCCCTTGTAGGCGCAAGGTGCACATGGTCACACATGCTCAGCAGGGCCTGAACACACAGAATTTCACCTAGGATCACACATGCACAGCACACATTATGAAGTCCAGTCATAGTAAAATCATATTCTGGATGTTCAAACATATAGTCATAAGCAGTTGATGCACAAATGTTTATTTTTATTTTATTATTTTATTTTTGAGATGGAGTCTCCCTCTATTGTCCAGGCTGGAGTGCAGTGGCACAATCTTGGCTCACTGCAACCTCTACCTCCCATGTGCAAGTGATTCTCCTGCCTCAACCTCCCAAGTAGCTGGGATACAGGCACCTGTCACTATGCTCTGCTGGGTTTTATATTTTTAGTAGAAACAGTGTTTCACTATGTTGGCCTGGCTGGTCTTGAACTCCTGACCTCAAGCGATCCACCCGCCTCAGCCTCCCAAGTGCTGAGATTATAGGTGTGAGCCACCATGCCCAGCCCTGACGCACAAATGTTATATATCTCTCTAAAATTTTTCCTTTCTTGTTTTTTTCTTATGTTTATATTTAAATTTTTTTTCCCCCAAGTTGTTGGGGAAATGATGGTATCTGGTTACACAAGTAAGTTCTTTAGTGGTGATTTGTGAGATTTTGATGCACCTATCAGCCGAGCAGTATACACTTCATCATATTTGCAGTCTTTTATCCCTCACGCCCCTCCCACTCTTCCATCCAAGTCTCCAAAGTCCATTGTATCATTCTTACGCCTTTGGGTCCTCATAGTTTAGCTCCCACATATCAGTGAGAACACACATATATCCATCTAATCTTAAAAGAGTAAACTTCTGAAATTGAAAAAGTATTGTATCAACACTGAAATTTCAAAAACACAGTATAGAGTTAAAAAACAACAACAACAAAACAACCCAGGTTGCAAAAGAATATCCATAGTAGGATACGAAGTAAATAAATACTAGCTGAATTAATTTAAACCATATGCAAGCCAAATTTATATGTAAGAGAAGTGTAAAAGTGAATACCAAATTCAGGGTGACAGTTACTTCTGGGGAAGGAGGAAGGCAAAGAGTGAAGAAGAGACATTAATTATACTGTGATGTTTTATTTCTTAAGCTGGGTTGTGAGGACATGGGTGTTTTGTTGTATTATTCTGCATACTCTTTTTACTGGAAATGTTTAATAAAACAAGTAGTACATGCTCCTGCTTAACAAATCCCAATTGCACCAAAGGTAATAGGATGAGAAGCAGGTCTCCCTCCCACCCCAGACTTCTAGTTCCCTAGCCTCCCTCTTCAGAGGCAACTGCTGTCCCCAATCTCTTCTGAAAAATTGGGGACATCCTTTCAGAAAAATCCTGAATACCTATGTAACAAGTTTTATATAGGTATAAAAATACCTATTTAACAAGCCTGGCCAACATGGCAAAACCCCATGTCTACTAAAAACACAAGAGTGTATACATACTCTTCTTTAAAAAACACAAAATGGAAAATACCATTCACTCTGCTATGCACATTGCTTTCTAAAAGTTAACTGTCTTAGAGCTGTTGCTTTCAGCCTTAGCTGCACGTTAGAATCACCTGGGGAGATTCCAAGATGGACCAATCCATGGTACCCACCCCAGATCAGCTGACTCAGAATCTTTAGGGGCTGGCTCTGGTTGTCTGTAGAATTCCCAGGTGATTCTTATGCACAGCCAGGGTTGAGAACTGCTGACCTTTCTGAAGATGAGACGAAAAGGGAAGCTACATAGGCTGAGAGGCTTTCTCTCTGGGTGAGCTGGGATCCAGTAAGGCATAGCTCTTTGTAGGGCTTGATGAATTCCCTGGGCTCATGGACAGGTCTGTCAATAATATCCCAAGTCTTGACAAAGTGCATTCATTCTAGATGAGAAACGGCACTTTTTCGAAGGCAACCCAAAGTTCCCTAAGTTCCCTCATTGCTAGTCTCCATCCAGAATGTTGAGACAACCATTCTTCACCTCCTTTTCATGATAAATACTGTGTTAGGCAATTTTTTTTTGAGATATAGTCTTACTTTGTCACCTAGGCTGGAATGCAGTGGCACTATCTCGGTTCACTGCAACCTCCACCTACTGGGTTCAAGCCATTCTCCTGTGTCAGCCTCTCAAATAGCTGGGAGTATAGGCATGGCATGCACCACCAAGCCCGGATAATTTTTGTATTTTTTGTAGAGATGAGGTTTCACCATGTTGGCCAGGCTGGTCTTGAACTGCTGACCTCAGGTGATCCACCCACTTTGGCTTCCCAAAGTGCTAGGATTACAGGTGTGAGCCACTGCACCTGGCCTGTGTTAGGCAATTCTTGCATTGCTATAAAGAAATACCTGAGACTGGGTAATTTATAAAGAAAGAAGGTTTACATGGAATACTATGCGGCCATAAAAAGAATGAGAACATGTTGTTTGCAGGGACATGGATGGAGCTGGAGGCCATCATCCTTAGCAAACTAATGCAGGAACAGAAACCAAATACCGCATGTTCTCACTTATAAGTAGGTGCTAAATGATGAGAACACATTGACACATAGAAGGAAACAACAGATACTGGGGCCTATTGGAGGGTGAAGAGTGGGAGGAAGGAGAGGATCAGGAAAAATAACTAATGGGTACTAGGCTTGATACCTGGGTGATGAAGTAATTCATACCACAAACCTCCGTGACACAAGCTTACTTATGTAACAAACCTGCATATGTACCCCTAAATAAAATTGAATAAAAGTTAAATTAAAAAAAAAGAAGGCCAGGTACAGTGGCTCACACCTATAATCCCAGCACTTTGGGAGGCCAAGACAGGTGAATCACTTGAGCCCAGGAGTTTGAGACCAGCAAGGCCAATATAGTGAAACCCTGTCTATACTATATAAAAAAAAAATTGACCTGGCACAGTGGTGCACACCTCTAATCCCAGCTACTTAGGAGGCTGAGCCATGAGAATTGCTTGAGCTCGGGAGGTGGAGGTTGCAGTGAATAGAGATCATGTGACTGTACTCCAGCTTGGGTGACAGAGCAAGACTGTGAAAGAAAAAAAAAGAGGATTATTTGGTTCATGGCTCTGCAGACTGTACAGGAAGCATGATACTGGCATCTGCCAACTTCTGGGAAGGCCTCAGGAAACTTACAATCATGGTGGAAGGCAGGGGGGAGCAGGGACGTCTTACTTGGCTGGCGCAGAAGCTAGAGAATGATCGGGGAGGTGCTACATGCATTTAAAAGACAAGATCTTGAGAGAACTCACTATTGTGAGGACAGCACCAAGGGGATTGTATTTAACCCTTCATGAGAAATCTGCCCTCATGATCCAATCACCTCTCACTGGACCCCACCTCCAACACTGGGGATTATATTTCAACATGAGATTTGGGTGGGGTACACATCCAAACTATATCAAATACAAAGTTTAGTAAAAATTTTGAAATAGCACCAAGCCAAAAAAGGGATAAGTACACCTACATTTTTTTTTTTTTTTTTTGAGACAGGGTTTTACTCCCATCGCCCAGGCTGGAGTGCAGTGACATGCTCCACTCACTACAACCTCTGCCTCCTGGGCTCAAGTGATCCTCCTGCCTCAGCCTCCTGAGTAGTTGGGATTGCAGGTGCACACCATCACACCCAGCTACTTTTGGTATTTTGTGTTTTGTTGTTGTTGTTGTTGAGACGGAGTCTTGCTACTTTTTGTATTTTGTGGGTTTTTTTTGTTGTTGTTGTTGAGACGGAGTCTTGCTCCGTCACCAGGCTGGAGTGCAGTGGCAGGATTTCGGCTCACTGCAACCTCTGCCTCCCGGGTTCAAGTGATTCCCCTATCTCAGGCTCCCCAGTAGCTGGGACTACAGATGTGCACCACTACACCTGGCTAATTTTTGTATTTTTAGTAGAGATGAGATTTCACCCTGTTGGCTAGGCTGGTCTTGAGCTCCTGACCTCAAGTGATTTGCCTGCCCTGACCTCCCAAAGTGCTGGGATTACAGGTATACGCAACCACATCTGGCCTAAACCTACTTTTTCTGTCAGTATTATCAGATTGCTCTGCTAATAGTGCACAATTTAACAGTCCCGCAGAAAAATGAATGTGCCCAGCAGTAAGTATTAGCACTTTATTTTAGTTTTGTCAATCTGGTGAAAAGTGATGTACTTATGTTATTTAGGCTTTGTTGGATTATTATTGAGGTTGAATATAATTTTATAGGATTCTTTATAGAGACCGCTTTAGTGGGACTAGGGATTAGATTTATATGAGAAGTTGTTATATCGAAGAATGAAGAAAGTAAGTAGTGTGTGTTTCAACTCTGATTTCAATCTGTATTTAATGAGCTTTAATTATTATTCCTCTTCTTTTATCTTCTCTCACACAGTTTCCTGAGATCCTTCTACAAGCAGCTTCCAAGATGGCCAGGACCCTGCTCCCTAAAGAATTCCTCTGGGCTGTCTTTGAATCTGTTCTGAATGGCAGTGACAAGCTCCCTAGCTCTGACCCTATGCCTGGTGAGTGTTTCCAGGGTACCTGAGCCAGTGCTGGGCTAGCAATGTTTCAGGCAAGGTCCCTGATATTAAGAGGGCTCCTTATGCTAGGAACTAGATTAAATGTCTGCAGAGCAATAGAATGACAAAAATCTATAGGCAAAAGAATTACACTTTTGGGCCAGGTGTGGTGGTGGTTCATGCCTGTAATCCTAGTACTTTGTGAGGCCAAGGTGGGCAGATCACTTGAGGTCAGGAGTTTGAGACCAGCCTGGCCAATATGGTGAAACCCTGTCTCTACTAAAAACATAAAAATTAGCAGAATGTGGTGGTGTGTGCTGGTAGTCCCAGCTACTCAGGAGGCTGAGGCACGAGGATCGGTTGAACTTGGGAGGAAGAGGTTGCAAGGTTGCAGTGAGCTGAGATGGTGTAATTGTACTCCAGCCTGGGTGACAGTGAGACTCCGTCTAAAAAAAAAAAGTTACACTTTTGTAAAGTGACCTGGAATCATGACCCATACTCCATATCCAGGCTAGTAGGTTTGATGAGTAAATAGGTGTAACAAACATTTCAGTAGGATTGACTTGGATTAGTGGTTTAACATGGCAGTGATAGGGCTGGACTGGGTAGATTTAACACCTGAGTCTGCCAAGTACTGGCTGTGTGGCTTTGGGTAAGCTGTTTAACCTCTGTGTGCCTCAGTTTTCATTCTTTATCAAATGGGGATAATGAAAGTCTCTTATCTCGCTTTAAACCCAGAAACATGGTTATAAGAATGTCTTGCATGTAGCAGATCCTTAATAAGATCCTTTTAAAATTTGATTTTTTTTTTTTTGAGATGGAGTCTTGCTGTGTCACCCAGGCTGAAGTGCAGTGGTGTGATCTCGGCCCACTGCAACCTCCTCCTCCCAGGTTCCAGCAATTCTACTGCCTCGGCCTCCCAAGTAGCTGGGATTACAGGCATGTGCCACCCCACCTGGCTAATTGTTTTATTATTAGTACAGACGGGGTTTTACCATGTTGTCTAGTCTCGTCTTGAATTCCTGGCCTCAGATGATCCATCTGCCTTGGCATCCCAAAGTGCTGGGATTACAGAGGTGAGACACCTCGCCCAGCCTAAAATTTGATTTTTATAGAGGCAGGGTCTCTCTCTGTCACCCAGGCTGGAGTGCAGTGGTGCAATCATGGCTCACTATGGCTTCAACCTTCTGGACTCAAGAGATCCTTCCACCTCAGCTTTTCAAGTAGCTGGGACTGCAGGCATGCACCACCTCATCTGGATAATTTTTTTATTTTTTGTAGAGATAGGGTCTTGCTATGTTGTCCAGGCTGATCTCGAACTCTGAGCCTCAAGTGATCCTCCTGCCTTGGTTTCCCAAAGTGCTGGGATTATAGATGTGAGCCACTATGCCTGTCCAAGTGTTAGATATTTTATTATCATTACCATATACCTACTAAGTACAGATTGGGGCCAGGCATGAGAAGACAAATTTAATCAGACCCAATGATAGTAGTTGACAGTCAGTGTTTGCTTTCATCCACCCAACAAATATTCATTAAGCACCAACTATGTGAACAAAGAGCTCACTTTCAAATGGAGGGTAGCAAGACAACAAATTCCATACATAAGTAAAATATATGGTATATTGTATGAAAAGTGCCAAGAAGGAAAATAAAGCAAGGGAAGGGGCCAGGAGTGTTGAGAGGGGGACTGTCATATGAAAAGAGAACTGCGAAGGAACATCTCATTGAGAAGGTGACATCAGAATGAAGACCCAAGGGAGAGTGGGCCATGTGAATATTTTCAGTTAGAGTCTTCCAGGCAGAGAGCGCAACATGATCACTCCTATGAGTGGGAGGCAGGGGCCAGTGTGTTTGGAGGGGAGTGAGAGACAAGGCCAGCCATGTAGGGACTGATAAGGAAATCCTAATGACTTTGGCTTTTACTCTGGGTGGAGACGTCATGTGACTTCAAGCAAAGAAGTGTCACAGTTGGATTTATGCCTACTTTGGGTGATCATCCCTCCATGCATTGTCCTGTTCTCCCATTTTTTTTCTTCAAGAACGTGGGGATTTTATTGGGTTTTGGAGGTGGCTCTCAGCAGCATAGATGGGGAGCTGGAAAGGAGATGGAGTGGGAAGATGGTCTTCCCCTGGAGTTCGGGTGTCCTGTGACCAATCTCCTCTCTGACTGTCCCCAGCCGAATTCTTCTCAGTGTTCAGATGCTCCTTCTCTTCTCTCCTTCTCTGCCATGCTGCTCCTCTATTCATCTGCTCATCTGCTTATATGCTCATGGAGCCTGGGGTTTGGGGTTTATATGGGTGCAAGGATAGTGGGACATGGCAGGACAAAAGGCAACAGATGAGCACGAAAACAGGAATGCCTGTTCCTATTTAGAGCTGCAGGTTTCCAGGCTCAGGTGTTCTCCCATTTTTAAAATGAAAGAAACTGGGGCTTAGAGAGACTAAGGGACTTGTCCAAAATCACAGAGTTAGTAAATGGCAGTTCTTGTATTTGTACCCAAAGTTCATGGTGACCACCCTGGCTCCCACTGCCCTCAAGATCTAGCAGTACATGTCGTATTGCAGAGCTCTTACTGTGTGTATGTGATACACAAAAGTAAGGCTTTCCACACTCAAGGGAAGAAAGCTCTGATATCACTGCATAGGTCAAGTGTTCTTTAGTTGGTTCTGGGTGTTAACTGCTGCTATGCTTTAGTGATTAATGAATTAGGATTACTGCTTTGTTTTATATCAATGTGTGTGTGTGTTCACTCATTCCACAGATATTTGATGAACACCTACTATGTGCCAGGCTCTATTCTAAGCCCTGGACAGACACAGTGATAAGACCAAGCCCTGATGTACTAGTCAACTATTCTTCCCTCTCTAATTCTCTGCTACCACTGATATTGTTTTCACTAGAGAGTGGGGTGGGGGTTGGCCTAGGGAGGGATTAGTCCCCTCCAAGTGGCTTATGATAAAGATGTTTGAGGACCACAACTGGCATCTTTGATCTGGTCAACTTTTGCCCCTTGACTGGAATCCAGTGAACTTACATTGAAGGTACAATGAGAAGAGAAAGGCCGTGGGGCTTGGGAAATGCCCTGGCCACAGGTGGGGTTGGTGCATTTGTCAGGGTCAGTGGTGGTCTGCTGCTAGGGCAAGAAATCCGGGGTTTCTCTTAAGGATCCTGGAGTTTTCTCCCAGGTTGGGCACATCAGAGCCAGCAAAGACAATATCTCATTTGCATGTTGGTTGGTAACTAGTTTGAGTAGGCAAAATTCACCTTATTCAAAGACCGAAATGGATGAGTTTTTCCTGTTGCCAAGGGAAGTGCAACGGGCTCACTTCTCTTCTCTCTTGGGATGGGAAAGCCACAACCCCCACTGTGATTTTCATGGATAGCAACTCATCTTCCCAGTTTTTATTTTATTTTATTTTGAGACAGGGGGTCTCACTGTCACCCAGGCTGGTTAGTAGTGTCACCAAGGCTCAGGTGATCCTCCCACTTCATCTTCCTGGGTAGCTGGGACTACAGGCATGTGCCACCATGCCCAGCTAATATATATATATATATATATATATATATATATATATATATATATATATTTTTTTTTTTTTAAGAGATGAGGTCTTGCCCTGTGGCCCACGCTGGTCTTGAACTCCTGGGCTCAAGTGATCCTTCTGCCTTGGCCTCCCAAAGTGCTGGGATTAAAGATGTGAGCCACCGTGCAGCCCATCTTCCCATTTTTATAGGAAGGCTCCTTCATAATTTTGGAACCTTTATGTTGGGTTGCAAACTCAAAGGCATAAGGGGCGAGGTAGGCAACAGAAATTGTGTATTGAGTGCTTACTGTATGTGAGCACTGTTCTAAGTGCTTTATATATAATACAGTCTTCACAACCATCCTGAAAACTGAAATACAGAGAGGTTAAATAGCCTTGGATTTGAATAGAAAGTCAGGACCGTTCACCACCAGCTCTTTCTGCCCTCAGGGAATTTGTAGTTTAATTGTAATGTTGCACTGCTCCTAGTTTGTGCATTTGGCTATGCAAAAAGCTGGCATTTCCTTGACTTCGTTACCCAGTAATTAGCAAGAAATGGCAGAAGTGTGATTCAAACTGGTCCTTGGGCTCCTGCTCTCAACTGCTATGGAGTCCCTTCAGCGCATAAATCGACTGGCGAAGAATGTTACTCATTTCAATAAAGACACAGACTAACATTTCCTGAAATTCTCTTTCTTTCCTGCATCTCCCCTTTCTTCAGGTTGCCATGGAGTCGTGGCCCCGTCTTCTGATGACATCTTCAAGTTGGCTGAAGCCAATGCCTGGTGGGCCCTGGAGGGCCTGCGGTGCATGGAGGAAGACACATTCATCAGGACCGTGGAGCTGCTGGGAGCTGTCCAGGGTTTCAGCCGGCCTCAGCTGATGACCCTGAAGGAGAAAGCAATACAGGTGAAGCTCACCTCAGGGAGGAAATGTTAAACAGAGGAAAAAAGGAAAACACCAAAAACCAATTCAGCATTTCTGCGCATAGAGCCCTCCTCGAGGAGTTTTCACATACATCATCTTGAAATTTTACTGTATCAGCTCAGTGATATTGTGATCTCCTTACCTGAGAAAGGAGGAAATTTTCAGTTCCTCCCTCTTAGGGCTATGGTAGAGAACCGGATAAGATGTGTCTTGGCATCTAGCAGATGTTCAGTGAATCAAGTTCTGTGGATGTCCCAGTGCCTCTGACCAAGGCACTTTGCAGGAATTAGGCTGTTTTTTTCCTCCACCTAGAGAGCCCCTGCTGCTGCTTGCAGCAGGTTTTCTCAGAATCTGTTGCAAATTTGTCTGAAAATATAACAAAGGAGTAAAAAGAGGACTGGAAGTAGTTTTCCATCTTTAGAAAGGTCCCTTTGTTGGCTGGGTGCGGGGGCTCACACCTATAATCCTGGCACTTCGGGAGGCGGGCAAATCACATGAGGTCAGGAGTTCAAGACCAACCTGGTCGACATGTTGAAAACCCATCTCTACTAAAAATACAAAAATTATCCGGGTGTGATGGCATGCCCCTGTAATCCCAGCTACTCGGGAGGCCGAGGCAGGAGAATTGCTTGAACCTGGGAGGTGGAGGTTGCAGTGAGCTGAAATTGCACCAGTGCACTCCAGCCTGAGGGTCAGAGTGAGACTTTGTCTCAAAAATAAATGAAAATAGGTTGGGTGTGTTGGCTCATGCCTGTAATCCCAACATTTTGGGAGACTGGGGTGGGCGGACCACGAGGTCAAGAAATTGAGATCATCTTGGCCAACATGGTGAAACCCTATCTCTACTAAAAATATAAAAATTAGCTGGGCATGATGGCATGTGCCAGTAGTCCCAGATACTCGGGAGGCTGAGGCAGGAGAATTGCTTGAACCTGGGAGGTGAGGTTGCAGTGAGCTGAGATTGTGCCAATGCATTCCAGCCTGGTGACAGAGTGAGACTTTGTCTCAAAAA